AATACATGTTGGTTTGGGGTTTAATACCGCTCTAACCAAAGCTGCAGATTTATTTATAAGGATTGAAAATTAATTTTAACTGCTTCCCCTCACCACCCTATAGCAGGATTGCACAGAATCACTTATATATACATGATTTGCATCTCCGGGTAGGGGGCACACGTGCCTCCCTACCAGCGCCGCCATTGGCGTCTACAGATGTCAATCAGCTGGAGATTTCCCACCATCACCCGGCGATTGCCAAGTAACACTGACAGGGGAGAGAACTGTGTGTAAACAACACAGATCTCTCTCCTGCCAGCAAGCACATGCTGCTGTGTATTCCTCTGCACAGCAGAGAAGTACACAGCAGCATGTCTCCCAAGTAAAACACAAACAGCACATAATGTAAAACAGCACAAAGCACATAGTTAACCCTTTGATCGACCCAGATGTTAACCCCTTCCTGCCCAGTGTCATTAGTACAGTGTCAGTGCTTTTTATTAGCACTGATCACTGTACTAGTGTCATTGGGGATGTCAGTGGCAGTTAGTTCCCACCCAGTGTCAGAATGCCCTCCGCAGTTCCACAGTCTATAAGTCGCTGATTGCCGCCATTACTAGTATAAATAAATAAAAAAAAAGTATATATACCACCATTTGTAGATGCTATAACTTTCACGTAAGCCAGTTAATTTACACGTATTGGGATTTTTTTTTGTAGAGACATGTAGCAGAATACATTTTGGCCTAAATTTATGACAAAATTTGATTTTTACATTTTTTACTGGATATGTTTTATAGCAAAAAGTCAAAAATATTGTTTTTTTTTTTTTTCAAAATTGTCAGTCTTTTTTTGTTTATAGTGCAAAAAATAAAAAACGCAGAGGTGATCAAATACCAGAAAGCTCTATTTGTGGGAAAAAGGACATAAATGTCATTTGAGTACAGTGTTGCATGACCGCACAATTGTCAGTTAAAATGACACACCGTCGTATTGCAAAAAATGGCCTCGTCTGGAAGGGAGGTAAATCCTCTGGAGGACAAGCGGTTCAGTAACATGTAAAACTTGTATATGAGTTAGGCAGAGCTTTAAGGAGACACGAGGAGAATTTCCAAACGAAAATTTATATGAACATTCTTAAGAAAACTTGTCCAAAAATGTGCTGATCGGAAAAAAAATTACCTACAGTCCTGTTCAGGAGGAGTCAATAAGGAGACTGACTCCTTTTCAGCAGGAACGGGGCCATAGATGGATCAAAATTTGTCTGGTCCCTGCTGAACTGGACGAATTTCGATCCATCTATGGCCAGCTTTAGACTCCTATTGACATTTTCCAGACTCTCCTTTACTGCTTTGTTGACAATTTCTCTTGTTTTGGAGCACAGCCGCTCACACTGGAATTTTATACACACTCACAAATGAATGAGTAAGAGCAATGACTATTCCCTCTTTCACTGCTGTTGTATATACAAAGCTTCAATCAGAGATAGACAGAGCTCAAAAGAAAAGTTTCTTCTGTGCTTTCTACTTACAAAACCCATAATGCTCAGTGAATCTTGTGTCATAAGTGTTCCCTGTAGTAAACATTAATTTGTAAATCAAAGATTTTATATAAAATAATAAAAAAAATTGTAAAAAATCAGTTTAAAAACATAAACTTAAATATAATTGTAAGATAAAATTGAACAGAAACCATTTTAGTTTCCCTTTAATATTGCTGGATCAGAATGACCACTTTTGACAAGTAAGACAATTTCTTCTGCTAAAGCAGTGGTCTCTAAACTATGGCCTTTTGCTTACCTTTATCTGGCCTTTGCGGCACTGTTCCTTCCATTGATACAAGGCACTATTCCTTCCCTTGACGCCAACGATGAGGTGCCATTCCTTCCACTGCCATCAACAGTGGGCCATAATTCCTCCCACTGGCTCCAATAATGGGGCAATATTCCTTCCACTGACACCAATGATGGGGCACTCTTCCTGTCACTGACATCAAAGGCGGGGCACTATTTCTTCCACTAATACCAACAATATGGCACTATTCCTGCCACAGACAGTAACACAGGGGAACTATTTCTTCCACTGATACCAACAATGGGGCATAAGTTTTTCCACTGATATCAGTGATGGGGCACTAATCCTCCCACTGACACCAACAATGGGGCAATATTCCTCCCATTAATGCCAATGAGGGGGCACTATTCCTCCCACTGACAACAATGATGGGGCACAATTCCTCACACTGATACCTATGATAGCACACTAGTGTCAAGGTCCTACCTTTTCCAGAGACTGTGCGGCTTCATGTACTGGCGTCCATCTTGGGTTTCTGCAGAGCATGGTGGGAGTCTTTTATGCCTTCAGATCTCTGAGGTCCATCCCCCAGAGGGGTGTGGCTGAGTAGATATAAGGCTGTGATCTGCACATGCTCTTTGCACTTGTGTCTTGTGTCTTTGTGTTGCTACAGCTCTGTGTATACTCTCGTGACTCTTCTGGTATCTGACTTGGCTTGTGACTAGACCATTCTCCGTGTTTTCCTTTGATCTGACCTTCCGTTGCTGAACCCGGCCCGTGACCTGTGATTCTTGTCTACTGTTCTGTACCGTTTTGTCCTGTTGTTGTCGACCCGGCCTGCCTGACTACGCTATTGTTATTTCCTACCAGCTACACGCCATTGGCGGCGGCCATTACCGCAGCCGGGGTGTCTTGGGGGCCGCAACCTGGTTCTTGACTGCATCAAGTCCATCCCCACCATCAGGGGCCCTGGTGAAAGGCAGCCTGGGACTTAGACTCTGCGCCCTGAGGGGCTTCGGTCTGTTGGTGGTGGTTGTCGTCAGTCAGTGCGTTACCCTGCCACTAGGCCTACCTGTCCGTTCCACAGCCCTGCCCTGACAACTAGTCCTTCCATTAATAACAATAATAGGACACTATTCCTCCCATTAATACCAATAATGGGGTGCTATTCCTCCCTCTGACACCAGTGATGGGTCATTATTCCTCCCACTGACACAAATAATGAGGCGCTATTCCTCCCACTGACACAAATGATGAGGCACTATTCCTCCCATTGATTACAATGATGAGACACTTTTCCTCCCACTGACTCCAATGATGAGGCACTAATTATCCCACTGACCCCATTGATGGGGCACTATTTATCCATTGACATCAAGGAAGGGGCACTATTCCTCCCACTGACCCCAATGCCCCAATGATGGGGCATTTTTTTCTTCCACTAATACAAATGATGGAGCACTATTCCTCCATCTACTGATCACAGGCTCTATGGTCAGTTTAGGCAGAGACTACAAACTTCCTATCATGCTGACCTACTAGTTTTGGTATTTTCTCAATTGAATGTATTGAGGGAGGTGCTGATCAGTATGCGGTTCAGGATTTTATCAGTTGGCACTGCATGCACCATGCAAAGCCTTGCAGACTCAGAACGTTTAGTTTGGAAGGATACTAAATGACATACTGTATTCTTGAGATCTGTGTAACCAGTAAAAATGTATCAATCACTAAACCAATGGCTGATGAATTCATTAAGTGAGAGAACTACGTTGTTCATTCCAACCAATCAGCTTCCCTCTTGTTTATACCGTGCACTGAAAAAAATAAAAGCAAAAATACTATTGGATACCTTGGGCAGAACAAACAGTTCCAGTTTCAGACACTTTCTATTATGAGGTCCGCAGTGACTTATAAAAGCCTGCATGAAACTGATATCCTCACTCCTCATTAGAGATTAGTAGATATGTAAATATTTGCGATTTTTGGTGTTTTGATGCAGTTTAACTTTTAAACACAGCTGTGTTCTGATCCCGAGAATGCTTCTTCCCCATGTATCCATTTGATTCATCTACCATTCAAGCCACACACAATCATGGGTGTTCCTGAAAGTGCAAGGATTAGTATTGAAAAGCAGTAGAGTAATGGAAAAGAGGGCATAGAGACCTGCGCCCCATACCCTTCCAAGTTATACAATCTGTGGGCCGGGACCCAAAACCTGTTTTCAATGTATTGTATTGGTCCCCCAGCTTGTTATACATCACATTTCTTGTAGAGTGGTGGAAAGGATTTATATGACTGTCCCTGAACCAGCATTTCTAAACATAGGTCAGCAAAGGCAATATATTTATGTAATTTCCTTTACATATAATCCATATGTCTATTTGCTGAACTACTATTTATTTACAATTTGTGCAATGTCCAGTTCTGTATAATCCTTCATTATAGTAAAAGTCAAACTAGAGGGATTTAAACCCCTGACAGTTTTATTTTTGATAAAAGATTAAGCAGAGCTCTGCCCTTTGAAAGCTTGCTACATGTGGCAGTCTCTCCCTATTTATATCCCTGGGTATGCTGATGTACTTACGCTGTCCTCCTTGCTCCCACTGCTCCCAGGCCTTCATCCTGTTCATGCTGTAATGCTGAATGGCTCCTTCCGAGCCAAGCCAGGGGGCTGCCCCCCTAGACCTTGGGGACCACTCAGTCTCCTCAGCACTCGATCTTCCACCCGACTCCCCTGCTGGCCTGACAATCCCATATTTATCTCACCACTGTACCAGGGCTTCCAAACCTGGGATTGGTTAGACTCCCATAAACATAAAGATTAGCTCCCCACCTCTTCTGCCCACTGGCTTATTGAAGGTTTCATGGTCCTCCAGATCCAGGAGAAGGCAATAGATTCTCAACCTGGTAAGCCATCCAGCTTGACTTGCAGTAACCTGACTTCAATCACAGACTCACACAGTGACCATGAGTCACGCACAATAGATTTACCTACAATACACTAGTAGCACACTGAGGGTGCTACGCTACTTTCTATACCTTGTAGGTTTGTTATAACATAAATGTCAATTATTTTTTTTTAGCTTGTAGAAATTCTTCACATGAGCAGCAACATTACTATTAGCCAAAAGAAGTACTGTATTTTTCGCTCCATAAGACACACTTTTTCCCCCCAAAAAAGGGGAAATGTCAGTGCGTTTTATGGAGCGAATATAGAGGGGCCGGTTTGGTATTCCCACCACTGCCATGTCAGAATACCGGGCCGCTCGGCTCTTCTCTGCAGCAGAACCTTACCTGTTCCTCGGTCCAGCGCTGTACAGTCCTCTGGCGCCGGCATCTTTAGTGTGAGCACCCGGCTGTTACAGCTGGGTGCCCACTTCTCATGCCTATGTCACTTCTCATGTACTATGTCCGCAGTCTCTAGTCATCGCCTGTACTGTGTCTGCAGTCTCTGGTCATCCCCTGTACTGTCTGCAGTCTCTGGTCATCTCCTGTACTGCGTCCGCAGTCTCTGGTCATCTCCTGTACTATGTCCGCAGTCTCTGGTCATTTCCTGTACTGTGTCCGCAGTCTCTGGTCATCTCCTGTACTATGTCCGCAGTCTCTAGTCATTTCCTGTACTGTGTCCGCAGTCTCTGGTCATTTCCTGTACTGTGTCCGCAGTCTCTGGTCATCTCCTGTACTATGTCCGCAGTCTCTGGTCATCTCCTGTACTGTGTCCGCAGTCTCTGGTCATCCCCTGTACTGTGTCCACAGTCTCTGGTCATCTCCTGTACTGTGTCCGCAGTCTCTGGTCATCCCCTGTACTGTGTCCGCAGTCTCTGGTCATCTCCTGTACTGTGTCTGCAGTCTCTGGTCATCTCCTGTACTATGTCCACAGTCTCTAGTCATCGCCTGTACTGTGTCCGCAGTCTCTGGTCATCACCTGTACTGTATCCACAGTCTCTAGTCATCCCTGTACTGTGTCCGCAGTCTCTGGTCATCTCCTGTACTATGTCCGCAGTCTCTGGTCATCTCCTGTACTGTGTCCGCAGTCTCTGGTCATCCCCTGTACTATGTCCGCAGTCTCTGGTCATCTCCTGTACTGTGTCCGCAGTCTCTGGTCATCTCCTGTACTATGTCCGCAGTCTCTGGTCATCTCCTGTACTATGTCTGCAGTCTCTGGTCATTTCTTGTACTATGTCTGCAGTCCATTGGTTCAGAATATTTTTTTCTTGTTTTCCTGCTCTAAAACGTAGGTGCGTCTTATGGTCAGGTGCATCTTATGGAGTGAAAAATACGGTATATACTATGCGCAGGCTCCTGAAATTAATATTTAATAATTGTTTTCTATAGGATGACAGTGTTTGGACAGTTTGGCATGTAGAAAGTCCAAGACAATTCTGCTAAATTTAGCCATAAAATATAGAAAAGCCTGGTATAATGTGTCTGCTTGAGATGGAAATGCTCTCCCACAAAATATACTTAATATGCCAAGGAGGGTCATTAATCATAAAAATGGGAGTTACACAACTGCCAGTTGTATTTAACTCTTTTATATTAGATGTGTGAGAAGCTTGTCCTTTTTTAAAGGTACACTACAAAATAGGCCTTGCACACACAATGAGAATATTGGACCAATGATCATCTGTTTTTTTTTTTGTATGCTAGTCTCATATTGAAAACAAATAGGTTACTAAAGTTATGAATATTCTGCTTAGACAGAATACAACTTCAGAAGTGATGTAATGTATTGTAATGTATTCTTTCACGTCCGAGCATACACGGTCTTGGTCACTCAATTTTTTTCATACAAATACTATACAAATTACATGAAAATTATTTGTTCTGTTATCTTACAAGACAATTTTTCATGCTTGCCCCTTTGGATACTTCTGCATGAACTGTCGCAATCGGCTCTCAGAAGCTGTGTACTAATCATCAGATTATCGGACGATCACTCCAAAAGCCTTTTTTTATTGTCTAATTTTCTCATCATGTGTACTATGCATAAACCATGAGATGCGTACAAGGAGTACAGGCTATGCTCTCGGGGGACCATTTTTTTAATGTAGTGCACCAGTCCACCCCACTTTGTCAATACCTTGGTGAGCACCCCTTCATGAACAAATCACAGGTTCACTTTTTTAGTTTTGGATTGAGTGCAGAGTGGTTAGAACCTCTAGGTTTTTTTTTTTTTTTTTTTACTGCAGTCTGGATCCCTGCTGGGGAGATTCAGTCTCTATTTTCCTTGTTGTCTAATAGCACTGGGACTAAAAGTGAGGGAAAACTCAAACTTTTTAGTTCTTCCCTAACCAAGAATAAATGAGTAGAAATTCCCAATGGCAACATTTGTTCCAATGACAGCTAAGAGGAATTTCTCCTAATTCCTGTTGTATTCTAGGTCAGCCTTTCTCAACCTTCTTACTTCACAGGAACCCTTATAATACACTATATTTCAGGTCCTGAGGAACTCTTACTAAAATTGATTCATTAGGAGTCAATGGAAGAAATGCCCCTTACATCTGTGGTCTGTAAGACGAATGCAAACCTTATTGTGGTGGTCAGAATGTTTCTATGGCAGGCACCTAAAAGATTATTGGCATCATGCTGCTAGATTTACCAAGTGGTGGTAGCCCAGGAACTATGCAGGCACCAACAAATGGAACCCTGTTTGAGAATGGCTGGTCTAGGTATTGGACAGCTGTCTTAACAGGAACTCCCCATAATTCCTGTTGTGTCTAGGTAAGGGACATACTAGGTGGGAGGAGAATCCATTGTTTTGGTGGGAGGAAAAGGTATTTGACCCACCCGGAATTGTTTAATACTTGCAGCAGTTGAGGAGCAATGAAGTGTCTGGTTTCAAGACACAGGCCACTGGAAAGGTAAGAATAGATCTACTTCATTTAAAGGCTGGCCCTACAAATTTGTTTCTACTTTATTTTCCCTTTTATAAGAAATCCTTTGGTGACAGGGTCACTTTAACATGAAAAATTTATCTGCTGTTAGATCCTCTTTAAGGCTTGCCTTGTACACATGTAAAAAGGAAGACTAGAGCTCCATCCATTGGCTAGAATGTATTTATGAAATGCAACATTTTATATTTACCTAAGAAATGTATTTATATTTTTTAATTTTAGTCCTTTCCAAGTCCTTTTTAGGACTTTCCATTATTTTTCTCCCACCCTAATCCTGTCTCACAAATGGACATTTATTTTTTATTTATGTTTTAATAGCTTTTTCAAGGGAAGCCTCCCTACCCTTTGGGGATTCTCACCTAGGTGAGAAAAACATATCCAGTTGCCCTCAGCCTTCTGGGATACCACTTCAGGCATCCCATGAAGCCTCAGGGTACTCTATAGCACTCTACAGTATTGCAGTGTCATCAGAGGTCCAGCTGTAAGTAAACCCTGGAAGAGAGAGTTACCTCCTGATGAAGTCAAAGTTGGAGGTGCATGATCGGATTTATAGAAGCAGAGCAGCAGATCACTACACTACAAACCCCTCTGGATTAGTTAGTCAAAACAGGGGGGTCCTCTCTAATCTGTTGGATCATCATAACAGCCAAAGAACTGGTATCCTGAGACATATGCAACGATGGCCTCCATACTTTCTTAGTACCATTCCATTGGAAAGACTCTGTTTTCTGAAGAAAAAAATAAAAATAAAATTCCTGCATAGGAAGACAATATGTACCCCTCACTTTGCAACCTTCAAGAGCTAAGCTCTAGCCTAATTTGTAGCTTCCTGCACTTCCATATGTTTTGGATGCTTGTATCCCCCACCATGCAATATGGTTTCATCTGCAGGTCCCTTCATCATTATAGGACACAGCAGTGGCATAGGGACCTACAAAGGAACCACCACACACAGTAAGGGAATGGGCATCGGATACGCCCAGATGTTTGTTGGTTGTGAAGATTCTGCCACAGCTGTAGCTCTTGAAATGAACAAAGTGAGAATGAGCTGCCTATGGAAGAGGTAAGCATTTTTCTTTTGAAGCACTCCTACAAATTAATGTCCCCCCATCAAAAAACAATTGTCATTTTTTTGTGTTTACTGAAGGAAAAATCCACAACACACTATAGTTGTACTGTATTAAAAATAAACTAGCATTTATTTCAGTTCAACAATGACACATTTTGTATTAGAAAAAAACATTAAGTGGTCAATTTAAAAGTACTACTAAAGGTTCCTGTCTGACAGTCTAAACAAGTCCCAAATCCAGTTATTATGCGATGCACAAGCCTTATAAAGCAAACAAAAACTTTTTACCTCCCCTCACTGAGCCAAATCCTCCTTCATTTTTGTCTCACATGCTCTATCTACCAGACACTGCAACTCACAGTGGGAAGGTTTCGGCAACAGAGGCAGGGCTATCAATGCAGAAAGCAGTGGGCAGGATTAGGTGTGTGGTCAGCTGCTGATTGACAAGCTACAGACATGTGAAGTAGTAGTGACAATGCCGATAACCTTGCCCCTACACCATTTTTTCATCTGCCTGCACTGTAAGCAGGCACAGCCTACTTGAGAATGACAATGTTGCTCTGAACATAGGAGCAGTGCAGCATCGTTGCCACCCCATTACAGGAAGCTGCATTGAATGGACTTCATTGGCAGGTTCAACAGGTATTTGTGGGACTTTGCTGGGGAACTAAAAGAAAATTGTAAGTTCAGATGCCCTTTTAATTAAAGTAGAATTATAGGAAAAACTATTTTTTAAAACTTTGGATAGAGTAATGGAGGGCTATAACTACTGTCAGATTTTGTTTTCGCCATCTGTGTCCTATTTTGGAGATTTCCCTTCACTTCCTGTCCCTTAGCCAAACAGGAAGTGATAAGAAAATCCCTACAAATTAAAGGAATCCCTTGGGGACCCCCAGGTCACCAGAACTAGAGTCCCCATTGAAAGATTTCCCCTCTATTACTTTTCTGGAGACAACTCAAAATTTAGGATTTTCTTTTACTTTCACTTTCAATGATAATAGTAAACAGGACAAATAGAGAGGGTGTATCTCTCTAATAGGGGCACAGACTGCAATAAAAACTGACAGGGATTCTAATCCCTCTTCACTCTACCCAAAGCTAAAAAAAAGTTTTGCCTTCAGTTATAATTTAGGTGCTGCATCACATTTTTTTATGGGAGGCAACAGCTCTATTTTAAGGTATCATGCTGTGAAATGTATTGATATGATGTATCATGAAGTACTGTATGTGATACCTTCAGAGACAGTCAAGAGTTATGAGTCCATTTTTTAAATAACTACTCTTAGAAATTAATTTCTGGGCAGCAGTAAAAAAAAAAGTTAATACAAAACTTTTACGTACGTTATAAAAATCTGGCAATTGATTAAATAAGACTTATTTTTACTTATTTTACTTATGGGTCAACTAGATTAGTTAGAACTTTTGTTTTCTATAAGGTTTTCCTTCGACTAAGGAAATTGTTTTTGTGCTAATAACTTTAGTACTAATTCATTTTCTTTTGGAGAAATTAGGATACAAAATAAAAATGTTAGGTAAAATAAAATCTGAAACTAGGTTTAAAAATATGTTGATTAACATGAAACATCCCCAAGGTGATAGAATTATTGCTTGACTTTTCAGGGCCTTTTATACTAAGCAAACTACTTATGAAATGACTGGTATATGGTCTCTTTTGGTCTGGG